ATGTCTTTTCGCCTTTGCAATGCGTCGGGTACATTCCAGTACGCCATGAATAGGGTATTCCATGACTGCTTAGATAAGTTTATCGTCATGTACCTCAACGACGTCCTTATCTTTAGTAAAACTATCGAGGTGCACGCACAACACATTGACCTTGTGCTTGGACTCCAACAACAGCACAAGTATAAGATCACTTGGAGAAATGCGAGTTCGTTCGCAACAAGATCTTATATTTGGGTAATGAGATATCCGCGGACGAACTTAGGTCTGAAAATGTGAAGGTGACTAGTATTCAAGACTGGCCACGACCTCAGTCTGTGATGAGGTCCTTCTTGGGGATGACAGGCTACTACCGCAATTTGTCAAGAATTATAGTACTGCTGCTGCCCCCTTGATGGACCTAACACGCCTTGACACCCCTTGGGAGTGAACTGATGAATGTTGAGAGAGACTTCAAAAGATTGAAGCACAAAAGATTGAAGCACGCTCTCATGCATCATGAGATCCGTATGCTTCCTAATCCTGAGAAGCCATTCATTGTGACAACTAACGCAAGCCCATATGGCTTTGGCGCAGGTCTGGCTCAGCAGGAGGGGAAAACGTTGAGGCCGATCGAGTATATGGGTAAGAAGATGCCATCGCAAAGTCCAACTACGAGCGCGAGCTCTATGCCCTCTACAAGGCACTAATCCACTAGAGGCACTATCTGTTGGGCAGATTCTTTTATATGAGATCCGACTCTCAGTCCCTCAAATGGATTAAGTTGCAGCCTACCCTCTTGGATGCACTCAAGCGATGGATTGAGGTCATAGATCAATATGCTTTCAAGCTTTAGTACTTGAAGGGGGAGTACAATAAGGCTGTTGACGCACTCTCACATAGGGCAGATTTCTTGGGTACACCGATCAATAAGTTTGGCCTATCTGACAACATAACTTGATCTATGGTGGATGTCTACAAGGATGACCCTGTGATGATGGACACCATCCTCAAACTCGAGGCTAAGGACAATGCTACCTCTGATGAGTTTGTGGTGGTGGACAGGTTACTCTTTCTTGTGAAGGCGGGGAATAAAAGATTGTGTGTGTCGTCTAGTGAGTCTTTGTGTAGTTTATTCTTATGTGAGTGTCATGATGTAACCGGACACTTCGGTTACAAGAAGACTAGTGCTAACTTGGTGCAGCATTTTTGGTGGCCCTCTATGCTTGATGATGTGAAACGGTACGTACAAACTTGTCAAGTCTGTCAATGGGACGAGTAGAGAACTCAAGCATCACTTGGGTTAATCAAGCCCTTGCCCATTCCTGCTGGCCCGGGACACAACATTTCCATGGACTTCATCGATACCCTCGTGACCAGCAGGAGTGGCAAGAGACATATCTTTGTCATAGTAGATCGGTTCACCAAGTACGCTAGGTTAGTCACCATGCCCGAGACTGCAAAGATTGAGCATGTCATCAAGTTACCCATGGATAACTGGGTGCGTGATTTCGGATTGCCCAAGCCAATTGTTAGTGATAGAGATGTTTGTTTCATGAGCGAGATGCAGAAGAAAGCAGCTGAACAGATGGGCGGCCAACTCCAAATGACTTCAGGGAATCACCCCGAAGCCAATGGCTAAGCAAAGCAGATGAACAGCGTGGTACAGCACCTGCTGCGGCATTACACCAAGCCCTAGGTAGGAGGACTGGGATGAGAAACTTCCTCTCACCGCCACCAGCCAAATACATTATACATCCACAGATTCCACACAAAAACAAAGAATCTGGCCATAAACCCAGCCAAATACTCTAATCTGGCCATAAACCCTGCCAAATACTCTCTTGTGCTCGTTGTATGCCAGAGGGCGGTGAAAAACGGCCCTCCCACTTCAGCCACCCGCTCTCTTGTGCTCGTTGTACGTATTTGGCCATGCTTGGCCTGCCTTAATCAGCACAAGATACATCCAAGGGGCAAAAGGGAGACACGAGAGAGAGCATGGGAGGGTCGTTTTTCCGGGCCCCCTATGACAATTGGGTACCATGAGAAAGAGTCAAGGCCATGAGAAACGACCCTCTCGTTGTTGTCACTGGGTGTGGTGTTTTCTCTGTTTTATGTATGTATTTGGCTGTGTTGATGGCCAGATTCACACAGCAGATAATTCAGCTGTGTCTTCCTTTGTACCTTGCCTTCTTGCAGTCGCGGAACTCTGAGCATGCATTTAAAAAAAAAAAAAAAAAACGAGAGAGATTTGTGGGTGAGGTTGATCCACAAATCAACTCACCCGCTGGCTATGTTGTGCTTTATTTTTTTCTCTGGACATATTAGGGCCCATCACCACCCATCGCGACTGTCTGGGGCTGGTCTGTCCGGATGTCCTAATGCTGGGCAGAAATCCGAGGGTCCGGAGCAATCTGGTCAAAGGTCCGGCCAGACGTCTGCCAGACATCTCGATTGGTCTTGTGTCCGGGTCCAGCACAACCATGCCCTAAACTCTAAGCCTTAAACCAATAAGCCCCACAACCCTAAGCCGGAACAATCTGGACGAAGGTCTGGCCAGACGTCTGGATCAGTGTAGTGTTCCGCTCCAGCACAGCCACACCCTAAACCTTAGCCTTAAACCACCACTCCAACAGCCCTTGCACTGTTCATTTTTATTGTCATCCAGTACCACGCCAAAATCTACAGTGCCCAGGCCCAGTAGAGGTTTTGTGGGAAAGGTACCACAACTATTTTTCCTCACGGCGGCACTGGAGATTCTAGGCGCGGGGAAATGCGGATTTTGGTTTGTCAAGACAGGTCCTGATGGAGTAGTGGTTTAAACCTCCAAACCCAAGATCCTGAACATCAAACCGCTAAATCCTGGACCCCAAAACCCTGAACCCTGGACACTAAACCCCAAGACCCTAAGCCCTAAACCATGCATATAGTTTAACCGAGACAGGTCCTGATGGAGCGGTGGTATAAACCTCCAAGCACTAAACCCTAGGCTTCAAAAACCTAAATCCTAGACCCCAAAACCCTGAGCCCTAGCCCCTAAACCCCAACACTGTAAGCCCTAAACCATGCATATAGCGAGACAGGTCCTGATGGAGTGCTGGTTTGAACCTCCAAACCCTAAACCCTGGACATCAGAACCCTAAATCCTAGACGCCAACACCCTGAATCCTAGACCCTAAACCCCAAGACCCTAAGCCCTAAACCATGCATATAGCTTAACCGAGACAGGTCCAGATGGAGCGGTGGTTTAAACCTCCAAGCACTAAACCCTAGGCTTCAAAACCTTAAATCCTAGACCCCAAAACACTGAACCCTAGACCCTAACCGCCAAGACCCTAAGCCCTAAACCCCAAGACCCTAAGCCCTAAACCATGCATATAGCTTAAACGAAACAGGTCCTGATGGAGCGGTGGTTTAAACCTCCATGCACTAAACCCTAGGCTTCAAAACCCTAAACCAAAACCCTGAACCCTGCCGTAGACCCTAAACCCCAACACCCTAAGCCCTAAACCATACACATAGCTCAACAGAGACCCATACTCTGTGAGACCACTGCAAGTCGCACTCAGAGGGTGTTTAGTTTATCCCTACCCATAAATGTGCCGTGCTTTTTCTTTTTTTTTTTTTCAAAGAAACATTGGCAAGGGTGTGTCTGTGTGGGGGGGGGGTGCTGGAAAGAGCAGACAACCCCTCGACACCCTCATTATTGGATGGCTCCATTCCATTGGTGTTTTTTCTTCCATTGCGGCTATTTGGTTTCTTACACAGCTCTCATTCCCATCTCTCTTCCCCCCATGCGCCTTCGTCCCTCATCTCCTTCCCGCCAATGTCCGTCCATTCCTGCCAATGTCCATCCAATCCCCACCAACGGCTACCGTTCGTGGTCGTTGCCCGCGTCGACCCGCAGAAAACCGCCGATGTACGACCACTGACCCGACGGACCGCTTCTGCACCAGCAACTCCGTGTCGACGGTGCCATGCGCACGACGCAACGAGTCCGTGAAACGCGGGAATCCTAAATTTTTCAGTAGGTCGGGGGCTACTGGAAAATTTAGGACGATTTTGCCTGGGGAATCCTAAATCCTTTAGGACTCGTCCTAACGCCGTTTTCACATTTTCGATCTCAAAATTGGATTTAGGATTGCGTGCAACCAAGACGCAATCCTAAAAACAGGCACTTTTAGGAATGTCTAACGAGACCCT